TGTTGGTTTCGTTAACTTAATGTTCAATTCTATGGGAGTCTTCACTGGTTTACAGTCTTTCATATTGAACTTTTCAATGATGCTTTTTGCATACTTCTCTTGTGAAAGAAAAACTTGATGCTTGCTTAAATTTTGATGAAACTCGATACCAAGACAATTACTTACTATTCCCAAATCCTTCATTTCGAAATCATTCGCAAGTGCAGCCTTTATTTCTTTTATACGAAACTTATTATTGGACGCTATTAGTAAATCATCTACATATATTGTCATCAAAACAATGTCGTTGCCTTCTCGCTTAGTGAATACACAAGGATCCTGTTGTACTGCACTTAGACCCATATTCTGTAGTTTCTTTGTCAATTTCATGTACCATGATAGCCCAGACTGACGAAGTCCATAAAGAGCTTTCTTTAATAAACATACAGGTGACTTACTTGACTTAATCGCCTTTAACCAATGCTGCGCTGTTTCTTTAACTTTTCCACACAATATTGTTGAAGTTTTTCCCACTGGTTTTGATGAAACAACTTTGTTCAGGAATGGTATAAGATAATCGGGAATTTCCATGAAGACACTCTCTTCGAGCTCTCCATTTAGATATGCTGTAATGACATCCATCTGATGGATCTCCAAATCCATTTTTGCTGCCAGTGCCGCAAGTAGTCTTATAGATGTTGAACGAGCGACTGGAGAAAACGTATCATGAAAGTCTTCACCTGGTCGTTGTGCAAAACCCTTCGCTACTAATCGTACTTTCTGTTTTCCGTCATCTTTAGTTCGAAGCACGAATCTATTCCCAATAACTTTTCGTGATTTCGGTCTTTCGACCACTTCCCATGTTTTATTCTTTAGTTGTGCCACCATTTCGTCTTCTAGCGCTTTTGACCAAGAATTTGTTTCATCGCTTTCAAGTGCCTCCAAAATCGTTACTGGAGTTTGATATGTAGTGAGAAACGCCATTTCACAATCTTCAAAAACGTTGTTGTCAGGTTCATCATCTGAATGGTTTTTATCAGCAATTTTTCTTACTGAACTTGTATTTTCGTCTTCGTTGGATGATTCTTCACCATTCCGATTTGACGTGTAATATTCTTTTCGAGGCCTACCGCATGAATTTGTGCGAATAAGTCTCGGACGACCTCTTCTACGAATGGAGTTTTCTTCTCGCGTATCTGTATTTTCTACAATTTTCGGATTGACCGACAGTTTCTGATTTTCACAATTTTCGAACGCAATATCGATATAATCATTTGTTTGGCAGTCGTTTTCATTGTTAATATAAATGTTTTCGTATTTATTATGATAGATATTTTTGTTTACGAACACGACATCACGGCTTATTGTTATATTTCGTTTTGTAGATGACCACAGCCGATAGGCTTTCGCTTCGTTTGAATATCCAACAAACATGTAAGGTTCTGACTTAGAATCGAATTTATCTCTAGTCTTATCCTTTTTTAGGACATATGCTTTAGAGCCAAATACTTGAAAATGTACAATAGTTGGCATTTTACCAGTCCACAACTTGTGCGGTACTACACCGTTCAATGCTTTTGTAGGACACCTATTCCGAATATAGCACGCTGTATTTATGGCCTCTGCCCAAAAATTTGGCGGAACTTCAGCTTGTTTCATCATGCAACGGGCCATTTCAACTAGAGTTCTGTTTTTACGTTCAGCAATACCATTTTGCTCCGGCGTATATGGAGCAGTTAAGCGTCTTTGTATACCAAATTTCCTCAAGAATAAATTAAATTCAGAATTAACGTATTCTCTACCATTGTCTGATTGTAAAGCCTTAATTCGTTTACCCGTAAATGTTTCTACTGCTCTTTTGTATTGCTTAAATACATTTAATACATCGGATTTTTGTTTTATAAAATATACTTGACAATAGCGTGATTTGTCATCAATAAATGTTACGAAATATTTTGCATCCGAATTTGATGCTGTTCTCATTGGTCCGCACACATCACTATGCACGATCTCTAATAAGTCACTTGTTCTAGTTTCTTTACTCTTAGGAAATGGTTTTTGTATTTGTTTTTCACTAATACAAATTTCGCAAGTCGGAAGTTTTTGTTTAGGATTTAATTTTAATCCGTGTACTAGGTTATTACTAGCCAATTTTTTTAAGATCGTTTTCATTTATGTGGCCCATTTTCTGGTGCCACTTTTCAATGTCACATTTTTCTTCAGCAACTTGTGCAAAATGATTTTTATTTTCAACAATAAAAAGATTTCCACATCTTTTCGCTCGAGTTATAACCTTCTGATATTTGTCCAATACGATTGCATCTGAAGGGCGAAAATGCACTTCATATCCGCTGTCTACTATTTTTGATACAGAAAGTAGACTTGTACGCAAGTCCTCGACATATAGAACTTCTTTAAGATCAATGTTATTATCACGACCGTATACGTCTACAGTTATTTTCATTTTACCGACGCCGTTTATATTTGTTGTGTTGTCGTTTGCTAAGTTAAGCACTTTATTCGATTTTTGAAAGTCTGTAAAATATTCACGGTTTGCACTTAAATGGGCAGTACATCCACTATCTAGGCACCAATAATTGTCTTTTATTGAGCTAATAAATGCATCTTCAACATGATAGCTAAAATTATTGTTTACAGATTTTTCCGAATTTTTCAATTGCGTGTTATTTTCAGCTTTTGCTTTATTTTTACATTCACGTGCAAAATGTCCGATTTTGCCACAATTAAAACATTGTTTGTTTCGTTTAGAATCACTGTATCGTTTGTTTTGTTTTGCGTTTCGGCTTTTATTTCGATTTATGTATAGAGAGTTTTCATCACTATGTCTGTCTTCTTTTGTCCTTTGCGATTCAGCTTCTTCTAATATTTTCACTAGAAGTATGTCTGGCTTTGGCAGCTCGTCGCGCGTTTCTAACGCGCACCTGAAAGTATTAAAAGAGTCGGGTAGGCTATATAGGAGCAGTATGGCCAGAAGCTCATCCCCGATGGTGACGTCAATTTCCTTTAATTTTGCCACGGCTTCAAAAAAATCGTTGAGGTGCTCTCTAACCTTTTCACCCTCCTTCATGCGCGAAAGTGCAACCTTTTTCAGCAACGTCGCCTTGCGCGCAGGCCCTTTTGATGAATATGTGGCTTGTAGTTTCATCCACATTTCGTTTGAATTTGTGCATTCTGCAATTAATCTTAATTCTGATGCACTTACTGATAACATTATATCAGCACACGCTTTCTGATCAAAGCTGATCCATTTTGCAGCCCCTTCGCCCGTTGGACACGACGCAGTACCTTCGACATATGACCATAAATCGTTTTTTATGAGAATAGCTTTCATTTGTAATTTCCATGTATCGTAGTTTTCCGCGTTAAGCGGTTCAACTCGAATCACCGTTCCCGACATTTTTATACACGTATTAAATCTACTTTTTATGTGCACGTGCTTTTTACTTCGCAGTGGAAGCGTGCTGGGCCCATAACCTATTATATATTTTTAGCAAAAGTGAAACACGGTCCGATGTATTTTTAACATGTTCTTTACTTCGCTTTATTAACTATACTAAAAATGAATAATGAATAATAATTACAAAAGGAATATAGAATAATGACAGGCCAGAGTTGCCAGGCAATTAATATTTGAAAAGTACTTTACATAACAACAAGGACAATAAATTTTTGTATTTGTCCTTTATTTCTTTCTTTGCTATTCAAAATCCATCTAAAATATATAATTAATAAATAAAAATATAAAAATAAATTTATTTATCAAATATATATTTGATATAATTATAAAATATCATATATTATTTAATAATAAATATTTATTTATAATTATATAAAATCTAATTATGTGAAAAATATATAAGTATATATTTTTTGTTGTTTTTATTTTTAATTTATAAGTTATTAGTGTTATTGTTAGCTAATAGTGAAAATAAAAATTACTGAAAATTTGGACTATTGAAACAACGCCTTATTTCTTTTCAATTTGGATTGTGGTTATTTAATTTATTTTATACACAAACTAATAGCATATTTATACTCTCTAACTCATTATTATCAATAAGTCACCTCATTTATGTCAAAAAATGTGGAATGCAACCTTTGAAAATAAATTTCCTCCATGCGAAATTACAAAAATATGAAATATGTGTCATATGCTTTATATGTAAAAACAGCTTAGCTGTAAACAAAGGCACTGAGGAAGTAAGTATTAAATAAAATCTTTGTTTTTATTAATTGAATATGTAATTGATATATAAAATTTCTATAAATTATTTTTATTATACGTTTAATCAATAAATTTGAAAACTTTCAATCAAATGTAATAAACAAGTATAATAAAATAATAAATAAATATTTACATAAGTGCAGTGCAAAAAATCCGTATAAAATTTTAATTTACTTTACTTCAATTTACTCGAACTCGCACGCGGCCTTAATGTATCAATTACATATTTAATTTTTTTTGTGTAATATCTTAAGTGAAGCTTATATGGCGTTTATATTGGCCTAAAATGGCTCATTTTGAATGAGCCTTTTGAAAGTGTTTACATTCGTTGTAATTCGTTTGTTCTTATTTTAAACAGCTGATTTTTCAGCTTGTCTGTTGATTTGATTTTTAACCTGTGCCAAAAAGAATGTTGCATGAAGGTTAAATATGCCTAAAAACCTTACAATATAAACTTAAAACATATTTTTAACTTCGATTAATTAATTCTACTTTTGGGAAGTAAAAGTTCTAAAAAGAGGTGCATCGTTTTCAAGAAAATGCAACCACCAAACATTTGTTTAACTTTTTTGTGAATATGTCAAAAACAACTTTCTTAAAGCTGTCAAAATCTCATGAAGAGCTTTTATTTAGGGTATGTTCAATGTATTCCTTTGTGTTTGGAACATATATGGAACGTGCGAACGTCGTCGGGACGTATTCATACAGAATGTGATGGAATGGCTCATTCGCGCTTGAAATTTTGTATGCAAGAATGAACCATTTGCTTCTCATTTTCGATTTTTGACCAAAATAAGCCATTTTCGGCCAGTGTAAATGCCGTATTACAGAAGTTTATAAAAGTTCTATAAGCTGCATAAATGAGCTCATTATAATGTGAACGTTCAGTCATTAAAGTAAATGATCAAATGTCGAAATGAGATAGTGTGAATGAAAGAAAAGAAAGAAAACTTTAACAAATTATCATTTCATCTCCTAAAATACGTTCTTGTATACAATATATTATACAAATTTTACAGTAAAAACAATTACATTACGGTTATCTCAAATAATATGATTGAAAAACTTGTTTATTTCAATATATGGGTTTTCTCTTGAAGTAAACTTCAATATAAATACAGTATATTATTATCGTGCAACCAAAACAAATAAAAGTTCACAACAAATTTGCAATTGTCACATGTTTTTCTAAATGTATAACAATCCTGTGTACCGGTTACTTTTTCACGAATGTTCAATAGTACGTCATATTGTACGAAAGAATTGTACGATTGAATTCAGTATGAAAATTTTAATAATGGCGAGTGAATAAAATTACGGAAAATGTGCAAGGGAAGAAAATTATTTATAAATAATTATAGTGCGTAAAACACAGCTTTGTGATATATGTGTATAATGCTAAAGACAAACACATAAAAAAATAAATAAAACTATGGTTTTTAATAAAAAATAATAAAAGAAAAAACCTTTAAACAAAATGAGAAATATGAAAACATCAATGTCGGCATTAAAAATATTTTGTTGCCTCTTTTCTGTTTTTATTGCATCAGCGCAAATTTCGTTAGCTAAAACGGCAACAGCGGCTGACTCAGGAAAACAGAATGGTGTTGAAAATGACCCCGGTTCCGTAATACAAGAAAGTGTGCCCAAAGAAGTGAGTGTTATATTTGTTGCAAATTTGTTGCTTAAAGATAATATTATTAACCATATCTAAATATGTTTAGGATTGTACCGATTTGGCGCGTGATGAGGAAACATTAATGGTTTTTTCCACTTTGGGGGGTGGATTGACAGCAATAGATCCAATAACAAGTGAAATACGCTGGACAATAGCAGATGGTAATTATTTATGTTATTAAAAAATATTAAAAAATTAGTTGGTAATGTCTATTTAATGAGGCGTTACATATGTACACAGATACATGCATATATAGAAGTGTATTCAATTCTTATAAGTGGTAAATTACCCGCTGTTATTGTCACATATGGTAGAAAGAGCTCAGTGTTATCTTTGCTATTGGTGTTCAAATAGTTGTTTGGAAATAGCGTTTAATTTTTTAAACGAATTCCATAAATTATTAAATACAATCTAAAGTATTCGTATGCATATGTAAGCGCTTGGTATTATATTTGATAGATAAGAGATTTAAGTCTGGAACAGATCCATAAGATGTTTTTGTATTTTATTATTGTATAGACAGGTTTTCAATGCATTGAATTATTATTCTCAACTACGTAATATGTATATAAATTTTAAATAATTACATTGTTTTGAATAAAAACTGAATTTTAATTAAATTTAATTTTGAAAGCCCTCTGGAATCTGTTGTATCCTTTTTTATTTTTATAGGTTTTAACAAATTTTGTTTTTAATAATTCACACTTATTTAAAAAAAATAATTATTTTATTTAATTATTTATTATTTAATAATAATTTATTTTATTTTTTTTGAAAATTTTACGAAACGTTCTACATATTGAAATTTATTTTAATGGAGGTGCAAATCATTTAAAAAATTTCTATCTTCTTATTTGAACATTACCTTTCTGAGTCGGTATAAAAAGTTCGTTAGTTGTTGGCAAACATAACCTTTGAGGAGTTGAAAATTTTTTTGAACTATTGATACGAGGGCTTCCTTTTAAGTCTTTCGTCAGTTAAAATGGTTCTATTGTTATTCGAAGTATTCTCTACGATGATCAAAACATTTTTTTCATTCGATTAAACCAATTTTTAAAACAGTTTTGCCACTCTAAAGTTAGTATCTTCAAAACCACAACGATTTCGAGCGTAGAAAAACGATCGAAAAGCATTTTTCTCTAAGTGTTTGGGAACAAGAAGAAGTCTGTGGGTGCCAAATCGGAATTATAGGGCAGATGAACCATAAAGTCGACGTTTTGAGTGTTCAAAAACTCTTGTTTGAGCTGATATGTGGGAACTTGCATTGTCGTGGAGCATGATCTTTCGATGGTTGGTTTTCCTCAGAATTGACGGTTTTATGTTGTTTAAATGGTATTGTTGTGACATGACCGGTTTTTCAGATAAAACATGCAACCATTTGTTTGGAATGGTTTTATTCGCAGACAATTTTTGTCAAAATCTGCTTATCTTGAAAGGCTTAAACAGTAAATTGCCGTTTTGTTTCAAGCTTATTGGCATCGATCCACAACTTACCATCTGTCACGATGTCGTAGTCGTAGTCATGTTTTGAGCTACATCTGTCATATTTTTTCAACATTTTCTTGCACCAATCAACACGTGTTTTCTTTTGAACGATTGTCAAATTTAAAAATAAATAAATTAATTTAAATGATATATATAGCCCTCTTACAAATTGATTTCGAAAAATTTTTCTGCAATAATAATAAAATTTGGAAATATCATATGATGATGAAGATAAATAAGAAGATTTGTGGTCTGGGCTAGTTTCCATTAACTTACAAATATACCCTGTCTCTTACATATTTCTCTTTTGTATCATTTTGTCTTATAAATATGTCCTCCAATTTATTAATGTCAATGCCTTCTTGGTTCCGGAATGGCTACAACAAAAACAACAAGCAGGTTTCTAAACTAAACTAAAATATTTTTCTTTAATTTATCGATATATATTATGAAAAGAACTTAAATCAGTAAAGAATTTAACATTAAATATAAAGTACTTTTAATAATATAATAAAATATACTGTAGATATTTAATAATAAAGGTCATTTCATTCTATATCAGATCAATATGCCTCTGATTACTTTGTGTTATATATATTTATAAATTCATTTGATTTTAAGTATTGCCTTTATATCATCCAAGATGCATAAAAAATGTTCAATATTGTTTTTGTTGAACCCCCATTTAAACTAGGAAAAACGTTAATGTTTTAAAAAATGAAACATTTTTCTTTATGAAAATGTTGATAAGAGGTTCCTTTATTTGGTAATATTTTCATATATGAATGTATTGCAATCTACATTTCACAATTGATTTAGATACTTGCACATTTGTATGCTTTAAATGGTTCTCGTTTAAAATGTGAGAACTGCATATGCGGCATCATTTAATGTTTTGTTTTGTATAATTGCAAATTTAGCACATGCGTAATTTCTAAATATAGTAATTGCACTGTAAAATTGTTTTACTAATAAATGCAGATACATGCTACAACTGCAGCTATGTATATATAATGATTTGAGATAAGGTATCGTAAAATTCTTTTCAACAAATATCCAGCTGTCATAAATTTAAGAATGTAGTACATTTAAACGTTTTTATTCTACCAAAGGTCTAAATATTTATAAATATTTATATGTTTTTTTTGGTGGTCTAACATTTATTGTTATTGTAAATAGTTAATAACACTATATATTTTAAACATGGTTTTTACTGATCGAGTTTTAAGCATTCAAATAATACAGAGAAGCACATACATACTCCGATACATACTGAAATTATTATTATGAGTCAAATGTTGTCATTTTTTGAGTGATAATCCCTACCTTCTTCTTTATTACTTCGGACCGTTCCTAGTTATGCTAATTTTGTGCTGCGTTTGTATCTGGTCTTTTGTTTTCGTGCTCTGTAGAGTGTACCATTTACATATATGGGTTTCTTTTCCTGTAGCTAACTGATCTATTTTTGGGAATATCAGTTTTTTAGTATAAACATGCTATAGTCTGCTTGGCTCACAGTCTTTGCTGTAGTTAAATAATAGCTCACCATTAAGATTTGCTATCGATAATCAACAAAGTCTTGTAAGCTTGCATTCTCAAAAGTAGTGTCTGTTGCACTATCTTATTGTAAATTTATATTTACATTTTATTTGAAAGTATATAATTTATCGTATATAAGTAAATATAATATGCATAACAGAAGTCTCTGCAAAAAGAATAGCTTTGAAATAAAAATAGGCAACCTCAAGAATTTACTTTTAATTCGTTAACCTACTTTTTCTAAATAAAACTGTAGTTTATAAGCCCATTCTAATCTAAAAGCACGGCTTTGGTTAGTGTCTTGACCACTTGTGGAAAAACACGAATAGTCATCGCTTCCAATTTGACAAACACGAGTTCTAAGCCTGGCACTTGCAGTCAAAACAATTCATATAAGGACTATAAACTAATTTAAAAAAAAGTCGAATATTTCCCAGACCACTGATGAAGAGTACTTGAAAATATTCTAAACAGCGTTGTATGGTCAGCCAAACTTTAATAAATTAACTTAAATTTTTGTTATTGTTTTTTTATTTCTATTCCAGATTTTAATATTTTCGACTTTCGACAAAAAATATGAACATTAAAAATATTTTAATTTTATATAAATTAATTATTTTACACGGAACAAAAAATGTTGATGCTTAGAGTGAAATGATTTTACCATAAACCACGTTCAAAATAAATATTTTTAAAATTTTGAGTTTGTATATAATATGTTTATTATAATAAGTTTATTATAATAAGTTGATTCAAAAAATCAGCTTGAACACATATTTTAAAAATAGTCATATTTAAATTTATTATAATAAGAAAATGGTAGCTTGGAAATAGTAGCTGTATTACATAGAATATTACGTATAATATATAAAATAATTTATCTTTAAAAATCAATTAATCAGTACAGAAGTCAGGTAGTGATTCTTTATCATTAAACATAGTTTTCGTAAAGAGCATAAGTTAACATACTGCATCGCTTTTACTTCTGAAAATGTGTTCACTTTACGGTAGGCTAGAATAGGTTAGGTTATATCGGCGATCCCTTAGGCCTATTACCCCATTGTGTTACCGTATATGTACGAAAAGCTCAGGATTTAAAACCAGATAGAACCATTTGCGAACAAAATGCTATTTAGTGTCAGAATCTCAATGAGAATTTTGGATTTGCTTTTATCGGAACGTGGCCAGATTGCATATAGATGCCTGCATATCGTTGAGTCTTCCAATCTTTTATTAAAACACTATACCTTAACATTTTTATAAAAATTTTAAAAGGTATTTTTTAAAGTTATACCTTAATTTGAATCTTTGTGAAGTTAATTAATTTTTTGTGCAGGGATGTTTAATTTTTACAATTTTTAAAAGCTATTTTTCTATACCTCTGGCTTGATAAATCAACTACCTTACTTCATTATAAGTTTTAATAGTGAGGTTCTAATTTTACTAATATATTCAAATTTGATTAAATTTCTTAATTTTAAATGCGTATAACTGTATTACTAATTTTGTTTTTACTTATTTATTTATTTATTTTTATATGAACATTTTTAAGCCATTTCTTTACAAAAACCTTATAATTCCTAAACTGAATTTATTGCTTTGCACAGCGATTGTTTGTTGGTAGAATTTCTGTTTATATTTAATTAGCGTACAAGTGTTCTAGATAAAACATTTTTCTTCATATAAGGCCATACTACATACTATAAAAGTCTATACTTATATACTCGCATATATATTTATATACTCGTTTATATATATATGAATTTTTCTTTATACTTTTTACTTGTAAAAATTATGTCGGTCTGTGTTTGCTATTTAATGTTAATGACAGGCACAGTTGCTTAGATTCGCAGGTTTTCCAAATGTTCGCATTTATGACTTCTACTGCATTAGCTTTCTGACATATATTGTTTTTTACTTGTTAAAATATTTTAAAACATATTGCACATTTTTTAATGGCATGTATTTTATTAGAAATATAATTCTTAAAAAAATTGAATTGCAAATAAATAACAAAACAGACAGAAATAAATTTTGTTTCGCTAAACAACTCAAATGATAAGCAAAAGCGTACAGTCATAATATCTGCAGATAACAATTATTTCGTACTTAAAATGTCGATCGTCAATAATTGAAT